CTGCACGAATTAAAAAAAAAAATCACATAATAATGAAATATTTTATTTATTAAAAAAATGAAACAGAGTTAAACTTAATTAAAATAAATCGATGAATTTATGATGTTAACAAATGCTAAATTATATTTAAATTAATTAAACAGAAACACTTGAAACAATGTAATCAAAATATGTTAGAATATAACAAAGTTGAGAACTTTTAGTTACAATATCAAAAAAACCTTTTTTATAGTAAAGTATAAATATTATCAATAAATAGAAAATATTCGACAATAATAATTACATCGATCAACTTATACAATTTTAATTTACTTTTAAAAATATTTTCTTCTTATTACTTGTCAAATATGTCATAAGTTTTCTATTTGCAAATAATGAAAAAGTAAAATATTCAATTTAAAGAACAAACTAATTTATTAGAACGAGAAATTAAAAATTACTATACATTATAACCGTTTCTGCAGGCAATGTAAAAACAACAGTTATAACTTTAAAATTTACTAAAACTATAAATTCATATAAAAATTAACCCATGTAAATGTTAATTTCTAACTGATTCACATTGACATTTTTTATTTTTTAGAGTTGGATGAGAATTGTTTTTTTACGTCGAGTTGAGTCGAGTTGAGTTCAAAATACGAGTGCTCGAGAAAAAATTTGAGTATTCGATAATCTAAATTTCTGAGTTCTCGAGAAAAAAAAACGAATAACTGAATGTCGAGACAAAAAATTCGAGCAAAATCAAGTATTCGTATTTACGAGTACGATCATTTTTTTTATTGAGTCGAGTTCGAGTACTTGACTCGAAAAACTTTACAAAGTTAGGCTACTCGTCCAACTCTATTATTTATCATAAAATAAAAATAAGTTATTGGTCTGTTTCATTTGATTAACTATTTATTACGATTAATTATAAAAATTTCATTTAGAGGAAAATACAACAATAATTGGTATACTTCTCTTTTAAAATAGATATTCTACATTCGTGTATTAATATTGAGGATTAAAAATACATTAATTCTTCTTCGACTTATTAGTTAAATGATTGTACAAAAATATACAAATTTTACTTATATTTGACAAATCATTTAAATAACCTAAACTGTATGTAATGACAAAAGATGGATAATATCCAACTTTCATTTTCAATGTTTTGAAATAACACCAACCTTTGATTAGATTGCGATTTCGTATGATAGGCATAAAAGAGCATTCATAGGGTCATTGAAACATAAACAATATCACACTCCCTCATTGCACATTTAAATATAATAACTTCAAAATGGCTAATTCCGGATTTTATCATGACAAAATAAAATATTAAGTTTAAATCTCGGTTTAAATGGAAAAAGTGCTACAACGCAGTAGTTAATAGACTATGGTTAAATATAAGTAGAATATTGATGAATGAGAATTGTATGCAATGTTATTGTTTCATTATTCATATGAATCTGAATTGACACAATCAATAATAGGATTTGATACCAAATTTAATTAGGATAATTCCTTAATCTAATATTATTAATACATATTTCTGTCAAAAAAATTAGAACCAAATATAATTTAACTTACGTTCGTATAATTTATCAAGATAAATACAAACGAATAAATAAAAATCAAAACGAATTAATTCAATATATTAAATAAATACTTTAAAGGACTTTTAGAAAAATCAAATAAAATTGTTTGTGGAAAATCAGGCAGTTTTCCGTAGAAAATGTCATAACATGAACAGTTAATATGTTTTCTATTTTGTCTTGTTTATTTTAAATATAAGATATGTATTTAATAAAATTGATAAATTTAAGGTATTTTAGAAAATTATTTATTATAATTTCATAAACGACTGGATGAATAAAACACATATTATTTTACTCCGGTATATTTTTCAACATTCAAGTCCATAATTTATGGACACAAGGATAACAAAGACAATTTAAAATATCATAAAAAAATTTGCATATAAACGAAATGGCTCAACCGGAGCACAGGCTTGTAAGATACCGGAAATACATAGCACGTTTAATTCATACAATACAGCCCTTTCTTCCGAAAAGTGTAACTCAATTGTTAACAAAAACTATAACATTAAAAAATATTTTTCAATTGGATGAGGGACAAAAATGGGAAGGTTGAATAAAGAAAATATACATTAATTATTGATGTATTTCCCAAGCGGTTTTTTCCGTCCCACGTTGATCGGCTGAGGAAACTGTCGGGTTAAAGACGGTGATTGATGAAGTACTTACCGATGATCTGTGCTAGTGGGCACATATATATATATATATATATATATATCAATGTAAGGATCGAAGAAGAAAGCAAAATAAATAGGCGTTCTTATATACCTGGGTTACGGTTAATGGTATATGTGTCAAAATACCCCGATAGCTACGTATGTCACTCCCTTTGCAAACCTCATGACAAAAGCATTTCGATCATTTTGATTACTATATAAAATAGATACATATAGACTTCAATAAAGACACCGAAAGAACACTCGATAAGTATACTTTTCAAACAATATTATACGTATAATGTAAACTATAGTAAACTATAAAAAGGATATATAGGATATAGAAACTTGACGAGTATTAGTCGTGTTAAAGCAATATCATAATAAAGCATTCTAAATATCAAGTAGTGTAGTTTACTATATTTTTGTCCTATGTACATACTTATTATATGTCATCGGCAGTAGCGATATGGTAAATAAGTAATTTCTCGCCAGTCCGTAAGAACGATTATACTATGATAATCGTAATTATACACCAACAAGCAACATATTATTTTAAATGTTATCCAGTGAAAATATTTTTTTACTTAGGACTTAAATATCCAACTGTGATAAAGTACAAATAAAACTTTTTTTTTTGGAAAATCATCAAAAAATGCTCTCAAAATAAAACTTATAATGAATACAATTAACAATATTGTAATATTATCTATTGGTTTTAACTTACACATAAACATTCAAGTATTTACGTATTATAACAAAGTAACATTAATACGAATTAAAGACGTTTAACTCTTTTAAAATTATTAATTATTACTTTTTTTTGCCCATAAATAATTACTACTTTAAATCATCAGTACATAGACATACTTGCGGTAAGCCGTTATCACGAAAATTAAAATAAGTTATATACCATTGAATAATGGTCATAAAGAAACCATAAGTTTTATGTACAAAAACTTATTTATAATTGTAACAAAGTACTATTAACAATCGTAATAGGTACTAATAATATATATTATAATCTATCCAAAACTATATACTTATAAGTAAACCTTTATTAATATATTATGATGCACTTACATGATATTTTTCGATATGCGTTAATCGTCGGAAAAAATAATTCAAAAACTAGCATTTGAAACTAATTAAAATGTACGTGTCGCTAAAATACAACGCAATAAAAATATAATAATAAAAAATTATAATTTAATCGGATTAATCGGAGAATTCTATTTGGACAACGTCATACATTTTAACAACAATTTTCGCTTCAACGCATTATTATATTCCGATAGAAATTATAATGTGTGGTGTAAGTAATTTTTCAAGCGTTTCGGTTCTCGCTCACGCCAATTCATCATCCAGGGTGGGGTAGTGGATAAAATTTGAATTCCGCGCTAAAGGCGTATTGTCGAGAGACGTATTCGGCGTTAATATAAAGTATTTTCCGTACACATATAATGTACATGCACTTGTATTTATTTGGATGTAAATATGAACCTAAACATATATACCTAAATACGATAAACCATCAATTTCATCCGTGCCGTATATACCGAATTCCGAGTTCCGCTATTTTGTCCCAAAAGACGACCACCGGGTATTTTACCTAAGCACCCCTCGATTACATTGCAACAGAACTACTTCATCATCTAATATATTTTATGCTTTAGTGCCTTGTAGTTTTCTCGAAATGTACAAACGTACGTACATAATGTGTAAATGTATAGGTGAGAATATATCGTCGTACAAAACGCAATAATTATTATGATACAACATGCCGGAAAACCAACTTGATTGTTCGTAATTTACTGTGTACCTATCTATTCTAGAGTATTTAATAATTATGTTAAATAGCAACGAATATGGAGTACACGTGAAACTCGCAAGAACGCGCCAAACGCACGTGCTGATTGTGACAACTCTAATACAACTGTGATTGATAAAGCCGCATAGTATATGAACGATTCAAAAATATAAAGACCCGTGATACGATAGTTATTAATTAATTATATAAAAATGAGAAAAAAAATAATAAGCTCCAATAAAAAACACACCACTGCACGTCAGCAGAAAACAATATTCATCGATTCTGAATAATATATGAAGTTTGGTATTATGAAAAGGGTAACCAACCAATTGATTTGGTTTCCAGTTAAGCAGTTGATAGTAGTTACATATTTTCATATGTCTATGCAAACGAAAAGCGAATCACAACTTCTGAAACTTTTCGAAATTTTTAAATTTCTTAAGCGCACCGTCGAACAACAGCAAAAGAAAACAACGGTATTTCGCCACTTTGACAATAAACCGTTATAAGATCTTGCTCATTTTTAAACGATCTTACGCACACGTACAAAATCCCGTGAACCATACTTTGGTCTTTGGGCGTCACGAAGACCGAACGGGCCGAAAAACACATCGATAGTCGAGTACGAGTGCCTCTTGTTCTCCGTTCCGGGTATCGAAATTGTATGACCACAACGGCGGTTCAAACCTAACTACATTACCCGCGCAAAACAAAACCACGTTACAGGTATTACGTGTTAACACCTGCACCACTCTAACGGACGAGACCCCTCCGCGTGTAACGTTTTTCATGCACTGTGTCTAGTTTTTAGCCATCACGTGCCTATACGCACGATTCAGCGAATGCATTATCACGAAGGGTAAAATTATTGTTAACGCACACACCCGCGAACGTTACTGTTCGCGTTATAAATTATAATAATATCGTAATAATTTTCGGCGCTCCACTTACTTGAATTCTGGGCGGACGATGGTGTGCCGCCAAAACACAACAAGATCGCGAACGCGACAATGCGAGTCCTCATTATTATCTACTCGTTCTACGAATCCTACACTCTTGCGGTGTACACGTCGTGTATAATATTATTTACGCCGAAATAATGAAAATTTAAAATAAAAACACACGCGCACACACACACGGTCGTACGGTGCGGCAGTTGATCCGTTAAAAAAGTTAGGTACGCGCAATCCCGTCGACGAGGTGTACTATGTTATACTATATTCGATATTGATGGATAATTTTCAATTTTTGCTCCGATCGAAACGAAAACTAAAACTAAATCGGTAAAAAAAAAAAATAAATAAAATAAAAAAACAAACGAACAAACACCGAGTTTACCGAACGATATTGTTGAAATACTTTTTTTTACAACGGAATTCCGACCGTGATCGTCGTTATCTTATGGAACACGGGCAGAAACGATAAAAAAAAAAAATTACAACCGCACGTAGAACGGAACGCGGACCGTCGCACGACGAAGCAGCGAAACGATCGACTGACGACTGGGTGGCTGGACCCTACTAGCTCGTGAACGGATTGTCGGTGACGCGGCGACGGCGTCGGCGGCCGCCGCCGACGCCGTGTTTGTCGAGAGAGGAGGGGCCCGATCCCCGTAGCCTACCTTACACGCGCGCCAATTATTCCGTATTCACCGTGTATGTGTGTATGTTATGATTTTTACTTTTTCATCTCTTCTCTTATCGTAACTATTATTTACGACTCGACCAACAATGAGTCGTTCGACGCGAAATTAATTTTCCAAAGGAAGCGCTCACATTTTTTATCGAAAAAATTCGACGTCACTCGTACTTCAAAAATAACTTCGCAACGCACAGGAAAAAATCGGTTAAAAACAAGTTATTTGCGCTACTCTTAGGGTTCGATTTTATTATAAACTTCAATAACATCTGTTAATACCCATGGCTGTTAATCGAAAACGTGGGTACTATAAATCCCCTATCATTTCGTTTGACATATCGTCGGCTACAAAATGAACGGATCAAACAAAAAACGATATCAACTAATGGGAAATGTTAATTCGTCTTCGGTGGATATTATAATGATGGACTTAAAAATATTATTGTTATACGAATACAACAGAAAATATTAGCCGAGTAATATAAAAATCCACAGTTTTGAGAAAACCTAAGAAATAAGTTTGATATAAAATTAAACTCGTTTCAGCGTTAATCTGAAATGCGATTTTCACAAAGGTACCTTTCATTATGACGCAGATGGACTTAACGAATGATAAAACAAATATAAAATAATTATTATTGTAACTCATTTATTTCTTTGAAAAAGATAAAGTACTAGCAATTATTATCTTGGTTACTTTACGTAGGTATTCTTTGTTTACGAATATATTATGTATAATTAACGTTTGTTTACGAATTGTTGTCTTGGTACATTATTAGAAATTTAGTATTCAAGTTTAGTGGTCGAGCTATATATTAGATTTTTATAAACAATTTCGATTTGACGCCAATTTGAAACCGATTTAGCGTTGGTTTCGGAAAACAGTTCTAGGCAAAGGAGATGAATCAGCTTCTATATCTTCTTATAATTTATATTACTATTTTATAATTATTATTGATTATAAATTGCATTATTTAGTAATAATAGTATTCATAATCAATGTTATTAATTCACCTAATAATAAGAACATCATAATTTCGTTATCGAGTCTGTATGGACTTGCAAAATAATACCTATATACTTTGGACTTTCTTTAAATTAATTTAATAATAATATTTCAAATTATTATTATATTTTGTATATTATGCTATTATAAGAAAATGGTTTTTTAAGTCCTTTCGATTATTTTTTAATAATAAAGTTACTGTTAGAAATATATTAAAATTCGTATAAATATTCAAACTTTTTTTTTACTGACTAAAATAAAAAATTGCAAAGAACCTTGTGTAATTTCAAGCCTTATGTATCACGTGAAATTTTAAGTTTTATGAATTTTCAGTTACCAAAATGAATAATTTTGTGATTTAATATCTCACAAACAAAATTAATGCTACGTAGTGTTTTTTATATTTTTACGTTGAAGTAAAAATAACTTTTGAGAAGTCATGTACCCATTGGCGTATATAGGAATTAATTTCAAGGGGGGGGAGGTTATGAAAAAATATATACTAAATGAAGGTTATAAATTAACTTATTTTTAATAACTATGAAAATTAGAATACATAAATTTAATTACAGGACAAAGTCTAATTTTCGAGGTAGATTTGCAAAATTATTTATCACTTCTTCAGTGTTTATTGAAATATTTCGATGAATTGACATGAGATAATCCTGTTAGTCGATTTTCGCTTGTACTATTTCTCAAGCACGACTTCAATATTTTCAATATCGAAAACGATCTTTCTGATGACGCTGTTGAGACTGGTAAAGTTACTAATATTGACATTAAGCACCATATGTTTGGAAAAAAATCAACGGATTGTTTATTCAAAGTATCAATAGTAGATTTGGATTTCTGACAAACCACGGAACATTTGCAATTATTCTGAGGACTTTGTTTTGGATAATTTGCATTTTTTTGATGTGCGAGGATGCACAATTACCCCATGCCGGGCAAGCGTAGGTAAGAATTGGGCGTATAATTTGCTTAAAAATTAGGAGAGAGCATTTTTTTCCCACATTAGACAGTTTGGTTTTAATTAATACATAGATTAAAGAAATGCACACGTGGGTCGTACTAACCATAAATTTCGGGGGAGGGTTTGAACCCCCAAACCCCCCCCTATATACGCCACTGCATGTATCTACAATAATTATAAGTACTAAAACCAAATATTAAAATTTTTAAAACACTATAACTGATTTTGTTGAAAACCAATAACCCGTTAATTTTACCGGTTGTTGTATATTAACTTTTTGTTAGTTTTCCTGATTATTTGGTAATTTGAGAAATTCAATAAATTATATTCCTAACATATTAACTGTACAAAAATTTTCATCAGACAAAAAAACAATAGATGATCTGATCAATCCATTTGGTTTTACTAATAAATACCTTTAAATGTTTAGTATGTTAGTAAACAACTTTGTTCTTATTGACAATATGGTAATATTGGATAATATCTAATAATTATTGACATTGAAACTATGAACAATTTTTATCAGACAAAGGTCATTAGGTTAAATTAGAAGTAATAAATACTGGTATTGGATTACAAGTCACCCATTTTCAAATTGTTTGAAGAAATATCACGATGTCTTTATCGTTAAAAATATTCAATCAAAGCTTTTATTATAAAATATAAAAAAAATAATTTTACTAAGTCTAAAATGGAAAATAATTAAAAATATTTTGGAAGCCATAAGGCATTTTTAATTAAAAAACTATATTTCTTTTTAAACTTAAACTCATATTATTAAATAATACTCAATAATAATAAAAATTGTATATGCATAAAATAAAATAATATTTATGAACAAGTATACAAAGTTTTTACTAAGCTTTATATTTTTTGGAACGTGGGTAAGTATTATTGATTATATATTACTATTATTAGTTGTTTAAATGTACATATATAATATATTTATATTTATTTGTTTTCAAATTCTGATTTTGTATTACATTAAAATAATTTATTTTATCTTTGGTGTATATAATTATTAATTAGTATACAAAATGACTAATGATGAATGCCTGGAAGTATATATGTTTGTATAAAGGTATAAGTGTAAAGGTTTAATGGAAGGGATCTTTGATGGTAATTTGAATAAATACATTCTTCAAAATACTATTTGTTCACTTTTTTCATGCGATCATTCTAACTTTTGTAACAAATAAATTTAAATTTAACTTTAAGAGTTGTTTTTTTATAATTATTGATGTAAACTCTTAATAAAGGTATCCGAACCAAATATTTTTTGTACGTTTTATTATTTTTTTAAATAATAAAAAAAATACTAAATCTTCATATTATTTTCATAATAATCAACATATACTCATAACAAGGTGTATACAAACTCCTTTATATTTAACATCATAAGAATGAGCAATGAATATTTCACAAAAAACATATGAAAATTTAATGTAAGTTAAAGTGGTACCTCGTACATTATTTAATATGTATACGTGAATAGAGCTGTATGTTAAAAATTATTTCTTATAATTTATTTCTTACATTTTTATAATTATTATTCAAATTTATATTTTATTTCTATTTTTCATAATATTATAAAATCGTATACTTTTTTTCAAAAAATATGAAACCTCTCCCCACGAAAAAATTGAAAATACGCCATTACACATATAATTATTACATACATTTTTCACGAGGAAATATCAAAGCAATGGACATATTATTATCAAAAAATTAAATCAGTTACTATGACGTAGTCACGTATGCGTGAAAAAAAAATGCTAGAGGGTTTTGAGGGTAGCCGTACTTAGTTTTTAGAATAATAAATATAACTACGTATTTATACATTAAAAATGTTATGTTTAAGTAAATATTAAATAAATTTCCAATGCCGCATTTGCATGTAGGTACACGGTTTATACTCAAGCTCCAAACGCACCAGTCTACTCATTTAAAATTAGGGAACCATAGAGTACTTTGTAAAAAAATATTTTAAATAATAAATATGCACAGAGCATCATTGGTTATACATGGGTATTTCTTTAATAGAAAAACATAAAATAAAATATTTTCAAAGTATATAGGTGCTTTGTCTATCGATAAACTTGATATACATTATATTATAATTTATAATCATTTAAGTCAAAAAGTATTTTTAAACATTTTTTCCCATATTAAATGTCATTTAAGAAGTTCAGTATACTATTTGAAACCTTATTTCTTAAATGTTTTATAGTTTTACGCTGGTTTACTTTTCTACAGAATATACGGAGGCTGAATTTGAAATATAACATATTGTGTACCCGTGACAGTTTATGGGTTTTTCAGTTAAATATCACCATATTTCCATTAAAATATATTTAAATTAATATAGTGTATTAATATTAAAATGTTTTTATTATATATTATATCTAAAACAATACGTGTATGATATACATTCGATATATAACATGCTATTCGTTCTTAATTTAATTTTGAAACGTTACAAAACTCATAGTTACTCAATTAATTGGTTTTTCATTACATAATTTATCAAGATGTATTAATTACTTTAATTATTGAGTATGAAAATCATCTACTAATGCTATTGTTTCCCAACTAACTTAAAATTAAAATGCTTTGTCACCGCTGCCACGAATGCATAATCCGTTATTGAAATAATATTTATCAATACATCGACTGTTATCAAACAAAATTATTATATAAAATTACACATATTATTTAAATTTCAAGTTGATTTAAAAAAAATATTATCTAAGCATAATATATGGAAAATACTACCTAATTTACATAAAGCTTAAATATTAGCAGTATGTTTACGTTATTGTTGTGAATGGAAATTGCGGTAGTTAATAATATTAATACAGTCGGTACCATTTATAACGACGCCAGTTGTAACGACA